TATTTTAAATATCCAGCATTTGAAAATGAAGACTGTGGAAGAGGCATGTTGTGTTGTCACAGTATCCGAGAAGCCACTCGACCTAACATCTGGATCTCAGAATGAAGCAATGAGCTGTAGTGGAGTATTTCTAAATTACCAGTCTGGAATTGTAGTCTGTAGTGGCATGATGTTTTCACTCTTTATAACCAAAAGACAATCCACGAAGAAAGACACGAAGATATTGCATTCTGAAAGTTTCACTAAAGAGCCAAAAGTGTATGTAGATTACATTCACTTTTGCGCCAACCAATCGTGTGCAATGGATAGACGCAACACGAGCCGTCAAGAAGCCCAATTGTTAATGATGTTCAATTGCGTGGAGTTTCAAGATGCATTTAACAAAATCTTCAAGGGGGCTGAAAATTGGGGCTTTTATAACGGTGGTTCAGATAAAGAAGCCCTTGAAGACTCCAGATTTTTAACATGGTTTGCACTCCTAAAAGTGCCCAGTTTGTCCACATGCACCTGTAAAGAAATTATTCCATGGGTGAAGAGTGGCACTCTTAAAAAGGGATGTCATGTTATCGCATGTGGGTCTCCATTTGGTGGTCTCTGCCCAGACCTCTTTATGAACTCAATTAGTAAAGGTATAGTTAGTAATCTGGCAGGAGAGGAAAATGCACTGATCCTGACCGATGCCCGCTGCTTGCCTGGCACCGAAGGAGGTGGTGTGTTTATTAGCAAAGGAGGCCTATCATACCTCGTGGGTTTGATCGTTTCACCACTGTGCTGGAAATCCGATGAATGGATTGGACTGACACTTGTGTGCTCTGTTCACCTCATTCTGAGAAACATCATACAGGCTGGTGCCATGCAGAAGTCGCTGATAGAAAAGTCATCACAGTTAACAACTGGCTCTATTCAAGCCATTCAAGCTGCAACACGGCGGTCAGGTTCTGAATTTTACCCTGGAGTGGTGCTGATTGAGACCGGCCTGCTGTGGGGTTCTGGTGTTCTGCTAAACCAGAATCTGGTTCTGACCTGCAGACATGTGGTGAATGAAAAGTCTGTTGTTACTGTCAGAGTTTACTTTGGAGGAAGGTAATGAATTCATGCATATTCATTGTTACAAGGCCTAAAGAAGTGACATTATGCTTGTTGACCTTTGTTTAATACACTACACATTATTGGTATTGGTATATTTGTAATCACCAAGTGATTTACTTTCCACCTCAGATTTCATGCAGTAAGTGGTAAGGTGCTGTATTCATCAGCTCCATCATCTCCCTATGATATCGCTCTAGTGGAGCTTCAGGAATCCCTCGCTGACTCCGTAAAACCGCAGTTTACCACATACTTTCACCCAGGTAATGCTGTGTACACCTATTTTATTGAAAATCATATTTAGCCAGAATTGTTTTTATTTGTTTTTGATTTCTGTGGGCCACCATTATAAGACAAAAACATGTTCCTCCAGCTTGTATTGGTTTATATATGTAATAACTTCATAATTTACAGGGTTTTGTATCAATGTGACATTTGACACTACTATGTATATTTTATCCCAGTATTTTACATACAAAAACAATCAATGTGAAATTTGACACTATAAGTACATTTTATATTCAATCAGTCTTTTTTTTTAATGCAACAACAATCATAACTTTGTAAGCCAATTTCCACCACACAAGAAAACAATTATATACTATATATTAAATACTTTGTCCCAGTGCAGCACCCGACATTTTCCTGTTCTGTTTTTATTTAGGTGAGGACGTAGTTGTCGTGGGTTATGGAGCTTTAGGGAGCCGCTGTGGCCCCTCGTTGACCTCAGGGATCTTATCCAGAGTCATCAGCCATCAGTCAAAGCCTGTGATGCTGCAGACGACATGCGCAGTGCAGTCTGGAGCCAGTGGTGGCGCTGTGGTTCGGTCTGCCACTGGGGAATTGTTAGGTAATACTAATATCCTACATATAATTTTAAATAGTTAGGAATTCATGGAAAATGTCAATGCGCCAACCAGTTAATGTTCAGAACAAATCCAGTCTTCAGTGGAGATACATGAAATATACTATTCATTCTCTAACCAGAAGGGGGCAGCATAGGACTTTTGCTGATAATTTACTCACCCCCATGTCATCCAAGATATCCATGTCTTTCTTTCTTCAGTCGAAAAGAAATTAAGGTTTTTGATGAAAACATTCCAGGATTTTTCTCCATATAATGCACTTTACTGGTAACCAAAGAGTTCAAGGTCCAAAAGACAATTTCAGTGCAAACTGCAAACTGTTCAATGGGCTTTAAATGATTCCAGACGATGAATAAGGGTCTTATCAAGAGAAAAGATCGCTCATTTAAAAAATAAAAACCAAAGTTTAAGTTTTATAAGCTCAAATGCTCACCTTGCTCTGTTCTGTGATGCACGTTCGTGACTCTCCTGTTCAAACTCGTTTTTCAAAATGAACAAATCTTTTTTCATGTCATTTGGTTCATTCAACAAACGAAATGAACGAATTGACTCGGGAAAAGATTTGTTCATATTGATGAACAAGTTTGAACAGGAGAGTCACGAACGTGCATCACAGAACAGAGCAAGGTGAGCATTTGAGCTTATAAAACTTAAACTTTGTTTAGTTTTTTTTTTTTTTAAATGAGCGATCGTTTCGCTTGATAAGACAATATTCATCGTCTGGAATCGTTTGAACAGTTTGCACTGAAACTGTCTTTTGGACCTTGAACCGTTTGGTGCCCAGTAAAGTGCATTATATGGAGAAAAATGCTGGAATGTTTTAATCAAAAACCTTAATGGTTGACATGGGGGTGAGTAAATTATCAGCAAAAGTTTTTTTTTAAAGTGAACTACTCCTTTAAGCTTTTTTTTCACCCTAAAGTCAGAGGCAGTGTATGACTAAATCAAGCTTTCACAGGTGGATAAAATCTCATTTGATTTATTTTATCGTACACCTCTAAATATTAGGTATCGTGTCCAGCAACACTAGAGACTTCACAGCGAAAGTGACGTATCCCCACCTGAACTTCAGCATCCCAGTGAGCGTTCTGGAAACTCTGCTGAGACGTTTTGATCAAACTGGAGATGCTGCTGTTTTTAAGGTCTTGGACAGTGCGGAGGATGACGTCAGAAAGATATGGAGACTACAGAGCATTCAAAGCAAGCTTTGAACAGTTCGATTTTTGAAAATGTACTGTAAGATGTAAGATTCTTGAGAATCACTAGTAAAATTAACCTTGTGTGATGTAAAGTTGCTGAAAATTGGAAATTACAATATAATATGTCAAACCTGTGTGAAAGGGTGTGTTTCTCAGGTTATTTGACTTTTTAATATGAAATAATAATACAACGATCGATTTCTTTAAGATTACACAAAAATTCCAGCACCCCTTAGATTTATTTTTGAATAATTTATTTAGATATTTGCAAGTGAACTTAAAGGGTTAGTTCACCCAAAAATGAAAATTAAGTCATTAATTACTCACCCTCATGCTGTACCAACCCCGTAAGACCTTCGTTCATCTTCGGAACACAAATAAAGATATTTTTGATTGAATCTGAGAGCTAGATCACTCTTCCATAGGCTTCCTAAGGGACTGGCTCTTGACGGCCCATAAAGTCATTAAAGAAAAGGTTTAAATATTCCATGTGCCTACAGCGGCTCAATTATAAGTTTATCAAGCGACGAGAATACTACTTTTTGTGCGAAAAGAACATAAATAATGACTTTATTCCACTATTCCATTACTTCCTTATGGGCGCATGCGCGAGAACTGAGACGAGGACGTTCTCATTCGTCTACTTCTTGTTACCGAATGCTCACCGCTTAGGAGTTTTACCGCCACCTACCGTATAAAATGATGTGCTGATATAGCTGGAAGCGCAAAACTTTCTGTTTACAAGCAGAGGAAGATGCGCGCTGTACAAACGCTTTTCAATTTGCATATTTTCCGCACTATAAGGTGCACTTAAAAGCCTTTAATCTTCTCAAAAAACGACAGTGTTCCTTATAATCCGGAGCGCCTTATATATGGATCATCATCTTATACGGTAGGTGGCAGTAAAACTCCTGAGCGGTGAGCACCCGGTAACAAGAAGTAGACGAATGAGAACGTCCTCATCTCAGTTCTTGCTCATGCGCCCATAAGGAAGTAATAGAATAGTGGAATAAAGTCGTTATTTATGTTTTTTTCGCACAAAAAGTAGTATTCTCGTCGCTTGATAAACTTATAATTGAGCCGCTGTAGGCACATGGAATATTTAAACCTTTTCTTTAATGACTTTATGGGCCGTCAAGAGCCAGTCCCTTAGGCAGTCTATGTAGGACTGATCCAGCTCTCAGATTCAATCAAAAATATCTTTATTTGTGTTCCGAAGATGAACGAAGGTCTTACGGGGTTGGAACAGCATGGGGGTGAGTAATTAATGACTTAATTTTCATTTTTGGGTGAACTAACCCTTTAATGACTGATCAATATAAGTGGGGGGAAAAAACTGTTTTAGGTATCAACCATTTTAGGTTGATACCAAGAAGAGTGATGCACTAGATCATTAATAACGATGAGTTATTACAAATAATTATTCTGGAATTAGTTTCATCATGCACATTTTTCTCCCAGTAAAATAGTTAGAAACCAGTGCTTTCTAATCATTTTAGGTTGATTTAGCAGGATGCTAAACTGGATCATATTATATAAAATGTGTGTCAACACACACAAAAAAAAAATTGAGTCATTAGGTTTGATTCTCTTAATGACAACTGAACATTTGTAAGACATCTTTACATCATGCCTTCTATTAAAGTTGATATTCCTTTTGTGAACCCCCTGGTGTCTTGAGAACCAGCTGTTGTTGGGTATTTTTGGTATAGTTATTATAAATTACACTAGTCAAAAAATCTGTTTAAAAGTGGGTTGAAAAGATTTGTTTTCTCATGTCTCCAGTATCACATGAAAATGAGCATGTTGCCGAGTCTTGGGAGTAATTAAGAGAACAAAGGAACAGCACTTCGGGCTCAGTGCCTTTAATCATATTCAGGCAAGAAAGATGACACACTTGGACAAAGAAACATGCAACTAAATGCAAATATACTGCAACTCAGCGTAAATATGTTTTCTAATCGGTAAAATCCAAGTATTTACAATAATAATGGCATGTACAGTACAATATAATCATACACTAGTCCAAGTGGTATAACATCACTGTTAGCAGACTCCTGTACACTGCTGAGTAAGACATCAGGACATTCACTATCGACTTTTAATGAGCTGGCCGTCTTTCCACTCCATCACACCAGCAAGGTGATATTGGCTATGCTATGATAATAATCCACAAGTAATTTAAATATAGCCAAGATTCATCTCAATGACATTCGGAGGATTTATACTCTTCTGTGGACGCTGCGGTACACTGATGAATGTGTTTACGTCGCGGATGTTATCATATCAAATGCATTTTCTGTGGCTATGTGGAGCTCAGAGATCACATCTGGGTGAATTATCATATCAGATCAAGCCTGTAATTCATACACATTTTGCAATTCAAGCTAGCCGCTTTGATTCCACAGCATTTTCACCCTAAAAACTGATGCTTTAGGTATTTTATACTGCCAGACTCATGTATTTTAGCTTTAGTCGTATATTATGAGATTCAGACCTTGATTATAAATCCCTGCAGCACCAGATTTACACCTAGGAACATTACAGCCAACACATCTTTCACTGCAAATGACGGGAAGATCTGATTAGAAGACATCTGCAAAGACAGATTGGTCCCTTTGGGTGTATGAGAGAGAATATGTCAGACTGCATTTTTGAAAATTCATTCCTGCTTCTCCTGCTCATCCATACACTGCCTTGTTATAATAGCCGTGTTGCATCACAAGTACTGTATTACAGCCTGACCTAGTGGAGAAGCGAATTCTATTATGACAGACATGAAACCAGAACGCACATATCTCAGGATGTATTACCGTCCATTTTAAAGAAAACAATGATTTGATGTCGGGGGGAGGGATAAAGCTACTACATTGAGATGTAATTTATATGAAAATATAATGCTTTGCCATCTCTGCTTTCAGTGGATTATGACACGAAAGACAGGGAGAAAAAAAAAAGTGCCTTTAGGACAAGGATCGTCTTGTAGAAGTGCATTGTGTATTTCTGGCAAGTAGCCTAAAATCGGTTTTAGTTTGTGAGCGTGGAGAAAAAGCTCCTCAAATACATTGACGAATGTGCTACTTTATTTCAAAAGACATTTACGACTATTTATCTACTTCAAGGTAGCATAAAAATAATGCAGAGACTGTGTGAGCCAGAAGAGAGCGACAGTCTTAGCTTTTTGAGCTAAGCTAACTGAGCTTTTTGGTGTTTTGTCTCTTTGTCTTCATAGTAATCTGTGTTTATATGTTTTAGACCAGTTGGAGGACATATTTGAAACGATTTACATAAACTCTAACAGCAAAAACATTAGCAGCAATCTCAGTGTTCAAGGAAAGCAGTTGCTGATGGTCGACAGGAGATCTAATGAAGCAGGTTAGATCCTGAAAGCCTGTTGATCTTTATATACATACTTTATAAAGTCGTACCTTAAACTCTTGAGACTTAACAGGTGTCATTTCCGAACGTATAGTGATGAAACGATGTATTTATTAGACTTGCATAAGAACGCATCACATCACACCTATCAAGCGCCTAATTCTGAGCTTGTGTTTGCAGATGCTAGAGACTGATTCAGGAGAAAACTCTTGCACTTACAACAGAAATATGATGTTTCACAAGTATTCATAAGCCCAATAATTTGAAAACTCATTCCCAATACCGTAATCTCACTACAGCTAACACTAACCAAGACACCCCTCCCCCTCCCTCCCCAAGTCAAAGCTGTTTGGAGTGCAGTATAAAGATGACCGACCCACCAGTGTCCACCATTTAATGTCAGAAGATTGAGCTGCCTCTGTAGAAATGGGCCACAGAAAGCTACGTCGAACAAGGAGAGAATCACGTTTTCTACCAAATGTATCCGCCGTCATCAACCTCCCCCACCTCCCCTTCCTCCTCCTCAGCCTCCTCGCCGTTCTCCTCAGCCTCCTTTTCCTCTTCATCCTCCCATCCGAGCCCGCTGCCGAAATCGCCCGAGTACGTGGCCACCTCGTCTGGAAAAGGAAAATGCGAAGCCTATATCATTTTGCGAGGCAAACCGAGCGATTTATGCGCGACAAAGGCTAAACAATACAGGCTTGGCGCGAGGACAATAAACAAACAGGAGGTGTGACTTTGACGTTGGGCTTTTTAATCGCTATTTTATGTCCAGTCAGGGGATTTGTTCTTATCACCTGCAGGTCTGTCGCAGCCAGAAGTGATTAATCTTATGGACCTTTATTTCGGCGGGACAACTGCTCTTTTGGAATGGAAATGAACCTGGCCTAATGAATGTAGCACTTGGTCTTCTGTCAGATGGGTGACTGATGATTTTGGTGGATCTAAGTCCTAAGCCCTGTAGCTACAGAAGGAGCATTGTCCTCTGTGTGTGTGTGTTGTGCTCGTGCTCACCACAGTCGGGGTTGCCATGGATTCTGGAGCCCATTAACTCTCCTCCATGCTGGTCCACACACCAGCACTCCCCTCTGCTCTTGTCACACTGCAGTCTCCTATAAAAGCCGTCCTCGTCACAGCTGGGAATGTATGTATCTGAACTGACTAAAAGGGAGAGAAACACACAGACACGCACGTTTTGAGAATCAACGGTCGTGTTTGACATTCATTTTCTTATCCTACATGAATTGAGTATAAAATAAGCGTTGCATCACGGGTCACATTGCAAACTAGTTTGCATATTGCTGTAAATCATGTGACAGACTCAAGTGACACTGCTCATTGTAATGCATAAAATGTAACCTTGGCGACGGTTGAGGGTTGAGTTTCTGTCTGCAGTGTCTCGAATCATGATGCACGATAAAAAACCAGCTGCATGGAGACGAGTAATAAACAACTATATGTCCACATAATCATCATGATCTATTTAGCAATCAAATGCAGGATTTAACCTTCTGATGCACTGTGTGCTAGGGGATAAATCTGTAAAAGCCAGTTTTAACCATTCTGGGTGTGACACTACATCCTAACCACCACGGGGGGATTCGACTAACCCTTACCCATAATTCAACTTGACTGTCCTCTTTTATGTCCTTGTGTAATTTATTTATGAGTACATACATTAAATTTGCCTGTAGAAAGTCATGACCATGTACTTCAGAATGTTACATAGATGGTTGTATTTTAGTTTTGGTTAAAAACATTAATTGTATTTTTCTTTGTGATGTAATAATCAATGACTTAGAGGGTTGAGCTTTCTAGGTTTGCTTTTCCTTTGACACTCACCCATAATTCTGCACGACTGTCTTCTTTTGATGACATAGTTTTTTTTATGACGACATAAATTAAACGAGGCTGACGAAAGTGGTGCCATGAACCTCAGGAACCTCTGTTAATTTTTTAGAATAATGTCGAAACTCTTTGGTCGTATAGTATGCGTAGCTGTTTGTTCTCAGGCGTCAGGGGACGTTTGCATTTTGACTGCATCTGATTGGCTGTAGCATCTGCAGCACGTCCTTGGAGAGTCCTGAAAGCTCTGCAGCCAAACACGCAGCACTGCCCGCAGCCATGAGCTCCGCTCTAATCTAGGGTTGGGCCGATGGACGATATCATGATGGCTGATAGACATCAAGATGTTTAGACAGCATCAGTGCTTGTCATCTGCTCACCACTGCCTCCCCTCTACCTCGCTTTTTACTTCTCTCTTCCATTCTTTTTTCTTCCAGTTGTATACATTCTATATAACCTCGTTCTCTGGTTCTCCCATTGTTGCTTTTCTTCACACCTTAATTTGTTCTTCCCAAGATAGTACAGAGAGTCTCAGAGGAACGTTCATTCTTACCCGGTTTCTTCTTGGCTCCTTCTTGAACTTGGATTCGCTCTAGCTCAGCCAGGCACGGAGGCTCTGTGGAAGAAAAACAATCAGTGCCTTTAGGGAAGAGTCGACGCTAATCTCCTCCAGACAAACGCTTCACACGAGCTCCCTTCACCAACTCCCAAATGAGGAGGCATCACACCAGGGCTGTTCTCAGTGCAGACCCACAATCAAATCGCACCCAAGCACACCTCCATTTTAGAAGTGGCACAATAGATAGTTCTAATCTGTAGTTTTATGGCAATGTAATTCATGAAAGAAAGAGTATCTGGATTTGAGTTAAATAACTTGCTTTGAGAGTGTTCTGAAGAAAATGAACACCTGTTGTAGAAACTTAATGTCTTGAGGTGAAAAGTACAGCTTTCTTACAATAAACTAGAGAAACATTTTCCTAAAAAATGAAAATTCTGCCATTATTTACTCATCCTCAAGTCATTCAAAACTACATTTACATTCTTCTGAAGAACACAAAAGGAGTTATTTGGCATAACGTCCAAGCTGCTGTATTCCATTTAATGACAGTAAATGATGAACACAGACATCAAGTAGGGATATGCTTCTTATCTTGATATTTTCTGGGATTTTGCTGATAATTAGATGATATTTTGCTGGAAGTGTTTTGTGCTGTTACATTGGATGCTTTAGGCCTGTCGTGAACAGCAGACTGAAGATTTTGATTTTCTGTGTGGTGTTTAATTCACCGCAGAGACTTTTATTAAAGGGATAGTTCACTTTGAAATAAATTTTTGGTATGTTTTAGCTCACCTCAAGGGCATCCAAGATGTAGGTGTCTTTGTTTCCCGCAGTAGTATCATTTTTTATATTTTTAGGTCAAACCGTTCTTGTCTGTCAGTCATATAATGCAGGTCTATGGTCACCACCCTAAAGAGCATGCACAGAGAAGTCTAAATTAAACAAGATTTAATGACGTAAATGTAAGTACACATTGATGACCTAAGACACGAAACGAGCCCTTTGTGTGAGTATTTATATCGTTTTTACCTCTTGTAACCACAGCCACTTCCAAGTGATCTGATGGCGCGTGCGCTTCGGTTTGCGCAAGCGCCGGAAAGCGATGGAAGTGATCTCTCGTGCGGTTGCAAAAAAAATCAACGTTGTCTGTTGATATAATGAAATCGTCTTATAAATACTGTTCGTATTCTCACACAAACCGCTCGTTTCGTGTCTTAGGCCATCAGTGTGTACTTACATTTACGAGTCATTAAACCATGTTTAATTTGGACTTCTCTGTGCATGCTTTTTGAGGTGGTGACCATAGACCTCCATTATATGACTGATAGACACAAACGCTTTGACCTAAAAATATCAAAATTGAAACAACTGAGGAAACAAAGACACCTACATCTGGGATGCCCTTGAGGTAAGCTAAAACATACGAAAAATTATTTTCAAAGTGAACTATCCCTTTAAAATTAACTTTCACATTAAGAGGTGACATTTGCCCCGCTAAATTGATTTTCAATTATATCCAATCCAAATAGAATAATAAGACACCAGAGTATTTTAAAAATAATAAAAAATAATACTAGAAAATGAAATTATTAAAAGATTATTTTATATATTTTGAAATCCCTAAATGTGTCTTAATGTTTGATTCATTCAGAAACCAAGCAAGTGATGCCTTTATGAATGGGTTATTTATTCATTCACTTAAAAAAAACATTCAAAAACTAATTCAGTAATGAAACACCACACTTGTTGCTTGGAGACAACACTTTCTTATTATTCTATTATTCTATTTTTATTATTCTAATAGACTTTATCACACGGTAAATGTGTGTACTCTCAAGACATGTTTTTGTTTGTTTTTTGCCAAGTGAGTGACATACTATAAAAATGTCAGTTCAAACATTTTTAAAACAACAATTACAATATCATTGCATTGTATGGAGCATTGTATCGATCCAGACGACTTGTAAAGTTGCTATTGAGTTGTACAAATCACTTTTATGGTGCTTTTTAGAATTTTTGGATCCTGACAGATCCAGTCCCCATTCATGAGCAGCTTAGACATTCTGTCATACATCTTTTGTGTTCCACATAAGAAAAAAAGTCAAACAGGTTCTGGAATGACACAAGGGCGACTAAACAATGACAGAAACAATTCATTCAGAATTTATTCATTTTATTAAAGGAAACAACAAAGTTTCCTTTAATAAATAAATCAGTGCATTACATATTGGAATATTTGCCAATGCTATCATGTTTCACAGCTGTATGTGAAGGCCAGGCCAGTCAAGTCTAAAAAATGCAGCAGGTTTTCGTTTGACTGCCTGTCTGATTTTAGTCCCAGAGAGTTTGAGGCTGAGCAGGTTGTCAACAACCAACACTGATGTTGTTTTTCCCTCTGCAATAGCCATTTCCTATCCACCAGGGGAAATACAAGGGGAAGACAAAGTATGACAGGCCAAAAGCAACTATGCCCTCCCCAGGAGAGATGAGAGTGCCCAACCACATATCGTGAGCAGAATCACATCAAATAAGAGCCAGGCAAGTCTAGTGTGTGTGTGTTTGTGTGTTAAAATACTGCTAAGATAGAGCTCTCTGCCCCTCCAGTGAGATGCATTGTGAAGCATATGTCTGTTTGTGTCAAGAAGCTTGCCATGCTGCATGGCTAAAGCAAACACAACACACACACACACACACACAAAGGAATTCCAAAAAAACCAACCCAAAAGAACACACAAACAAACACACTGACGAGTCTCATTAATATGTAGAACATGTTGCAGATAAACACATGCGCATTGCAAACAGACCTACGCTTTCCCTGCTAATACACACACACACACATACACAAACACACACACACTGACTGTCAGTCACCCTAGCAACAAACACTGAATAGCAATTCCTCCAGACTTATGCATCTCATCAAAGTAATACTCCAAATCACTCTCCCCGTATGCCACAAACAGCTAAAGGTCAATTTACGCCTTGTCCAGCTCTCTCCTTTCCTATCCAAACAGGCTGTTTGTAGAGGAAATGAAAGATTTGGCTTTTAATAATCCAAACATATGGTCACCCCTCCCCTTTTTAATGTTTGAGTATATTTAGAAAACCAATTAAACTTAATCCAGTGCAAACTGAATGAGTTAGTGGCATGAGTCTACAAAACTCTCAGCAAACAGATAGACGGATTTACCCAAATCCCTGCCTCCACCGACTAGTGTCTTCTTTATCTTTAACGCCAGTCCAGTGCGTGCTGATATCAAATAAACGCTCTCTGCGACCAGTCCAGCCTTTGCATGCAATATCTCTTCTGGTCTTTTGTAATGGAAACCAAATATGGCCCTCAAATCCAATTTAAACGTCATTACAGATTTGAAACCCCAACTCTCTGAAGCAGTGTTGAACACGATGAAACACTGACTAGTGCTGGCACTGATGTTCGGCCATGTGTCCCCCTTCTGTCACGCTGATATCACTGCGCAGAGCAAACTGTGGACCGTGGCATTGACCAGCAGGATGCGGGACACACATGTGCAATGCCAAGGCTCTAATCCCACTTAAAGCTGATTTTAAAAGTTACAAAACATTTGTTTTTCAGGGTTACTTTTTACAGTGTTTTGGTTTAGTAAGAGTTTTTGCCTTTGAAAATATTTTTACAGTCATCATATTATATTCATTACAGTTTTTTACAATCACTATTACTATTATCAGAACCTTGATGTCATTTTTCACAACTCTAGACACAAAACTCACAACCAATCTCAATTGCTTGGATACAATACACAATACAACTTGGCAGTGTATAGTGTATATAAATACATACAAATAAAATATTTAATCATGTTTTTTTTTTTTTAGGTTCAATCATGTAGACACACTGAAAACTCACTTTCTCTCCAAAAACACAGGCACCACTCGGCCGTGGAGACTTTGCCATCGTGGTAGGAATCACAGGAGTTGAAGAAGGGCCGTATGCACACTTCGTACTTGTCCAGATTAATGGCAGCCAGCTCAGCTTGGTCCAGATACAGGTCGTTATTCGTGTCCAGCTTAGAGAACATCCAACCAATAGAGTCCTTACAGGTTGCAACAAGAGTCCGGTCCACAACTGTGCACAAACAATCACACACTATATCTGAACACAAAAATATTAGATTATAGACTGTAATACTTCCTCACTTTGCCATCTCTCCCAGAACACCTGATTGCAGCAGATTAGCTGTAAAAATTCAATCAACATCTTCTTAAAATTGCATTTCAAATGTTGCTGATAAGATAATCACTCTAATGGAAGCCATGGGCAGAAACAGAGAGGGTTTTTTTTTTTTCAAATAAATCAGAAGCAACTAATATAAATGTTGCAAACAAAAGAGGCAAAGCTAGTTGGAGAACTGATGAGGCATATGGTGGATTAGGTCATTTTTCTGCCATTAAATGTACATTTTAAATTAGATGCAATTTGAAGCCATGAAAAAAACTGATTTTCTAAAGGATAAAATGCTGCTGTTGTTATTTTGCCATCACATTTTAACACATAAAAGCTATGAATCTGCTGGATGTCTTTATGAATATCTAATGAATGTCTAAAGTTTTGTTAGTGCTATTATCATAGGTCCATGTTTAAAAGTACTATAGAAAACACAGTATATAAAGGACAATGTACAGCATTTGTGGGATTGTGTGTGTTTAGGAGGCTGCTTCTGTGATATAAATGGACGTTAGGGCCTCACTTGATGCAGAACTGGCTACAGGATTCCCAGTGCTGTTCTGCTTGCCGTTGCCTTGGAGCAGTTGGAACCAGTCCCGCAGGCGATCTCCCAGATCTGCCAGGTCCTGCCCTGTGCAACTCTCTGTGGACAGAAAAGAAGAGAGATTGAGACAGTGAAATGAGATAAGGGAGTGTTGGCAGACGTTGGAATTGAAGAGTAAAGAACCAATCGTCCTGCTTTTGCCCTTCTGAATTTGACGAGAAAAGCCTCCGGAGACTGCAGACATAAATCCGACATAATCAAAGTCAGCAGAAATTCACAAAGCAAGCAGCAAAGAGAGAACAGCATAGTCTGTTGATAAATCAATAAAGCCTTTGTTAGAGCGAGAGCTGCAGAATCAAAGGATGTGAAAGAGACAAATAGCATCTGAAGCACTCTCTGCATAAAATCCTTCATTATCAACAACAACAAAAAAAATCATAAAAAACTTAAAAGCTGACATGGATATTGTGCCTCATTGAGCTTCAGAAGGTGTTTCTTCATAAGAGCATCTTAAAGGGGATAGTTCATACAAAAAATAATGTCATCATTTAACTCAGCCTCAGTTTTATCCAAACCTTGTGTGACTTTCTTCTGTGGAACACAAAAAAAGGTATTTTGAAGAACTATTTTAGTGAACATTAACTTTTTTGTATGCATTAAAACACTGATACATTTTTTAAATATCTTTTTTATGTTTTACAGAAGACGAAAAGTCATACAGGATTGGAACGACAAGACAAATTATTTGAATTTTCTCTTAAAGGAGTAGTTCCCTTTTTAAAAAACCTTTGCTGATAATTTACTCACCCCCATGTCATCCAAGATGTCCATGTCTTTCTTTCTTCAGTTGAAAAGAAATTAAGGGTTTTAATGAAAACATTACAGGATTTTTCTCCATATAATGGACTTCACTGGGTATCAAACGGTTCATGGTCCAAATGTTTCAGTGCAGCTTTAAAGGGCTTTAAACGATACCAGACGATGAACAAGGGTCTTATCTAGCGAAACGATCGCTCATTTAAAAAATGAATAAAAAACATCAAGTTTTATAAGCTCAAATGCTCGCCTTTCTCTGTTCTGTGATGCGCGTTCGTGACTCTCCTGTTCGAACTCATTCATCAAAATGTCCGAATCTTTTTTCGAGTCACTCATTTGGACCTTGAACCGTTTGATACCCAGTGAAGTCCATTACATGGAGAAAAATCCTGGAATGTTTTCATCAAAAACCTTAATTTCTTTTCGACTGAAGAAAGAAAGACATGGACATTTTGGATGACATGGGGGTTAGTAAATTATCAGCAGAAGTTTTTTTTTTAAGTGAACTACTCCTTTAACAAGCTTTGCAAGAACCAACTGCAACTTTTGTAAGTGTGTTGAGGGCAGATACCGTGTTTGCTGTCCACGTCTGTAGCGGGAGCCACGGTGGTGGTGCAGGGGCAGAGACCAGCACATCTTACTTTTAACTCCTTTCCAGTGAGACAAGCCTGCTGCTCCAGTTTGCACTGATTAACACACACAAAACACAAAGAATAAGCTGTTCCACCATTGCACTTGTCCAGTGTCACATGCTCAAGTTCAGTGGCATGAATTGTAAGCCCAGATGGAGAACAATTATATCTACAGACAACTAAAAATCACTGGTTCAGCTAGATATCTCCATTAAAATAAGATGATGTCAACCTTCATTTCTTCCCTCACAAGGTCAGAAATAGATAATAGAGACAATACATAATTCAACAGAAAGGTTCTTTCATCCCCAAGTACGCCGATCCAGAATCCCTTCTGAAAATTCTTCTTTGATATTTAAGGATGCCAAGGGTCACTGTACAAGGTTTAATAGAGACTATTATCCATATTGTGCAAGCAGATAAGTCACACAGAATATAAAATGAAATAAAAAATGTATATTATATTTGACTTGCACAGAATATCAAGAATAGAAATAATGTAATAGGCATTCATTGTTTAAAACCATCGATGCAGGATAATGAAATGATTATATTATTACAACCCTTTATTAAAACTTTTCGGTTACACTTTATTTTGATAGTCACTTTAGACGTTCTACTAATTATAAGTAACTTTTCAACTATATGTCAACTAACTCTCATTAAAGTATAAGTATATTATAGTAGAATGTCAGTAGACTGTTAGGTTATGGTTAGGTGTTAGGCTTTGAGTTAGGAGAATAAGTTTACTTGTAGTCGCCAAGTTACTTGTAGTCAGTTGAATGTCTGTTGGGGGACCCAACGTAAAGTGTTAGCAGATATTAAGCTGACAGTCTACTAATACTCGTATATAATATCTACAAATAATAGATAATATATATATAATATCGTATATATTATATACGATCATATATACGTATATAATATATACGTATATGTACGTACAGTATATAATATCTACTAATAATATATAATATCTACTAATAATCGTTTTGCTTGAAAAGACCCTTATTCATCGTCTGGAATTGTTTAAAGCCCTTTCAACAGTCTGCAGTTTGCACTGAAATGGTCTTTTGGACCTCGAACCGTTTGGACCTTGGACCGTTTGGTTACCAGTAAAGTGCATTATATGGAGAAAAATAATAATAATAATAACTCGAATATTCGACTGAAGAAAGAAAGACATGGACATCTTTGATGACATGCGGGTGAGTAAATTATCAGCAAAAGTTTGTTTTTAAAATTGAACTACTCCTTTAACAAGGCAAAACTGATCCCTGGCTCGAAATTACTGATTTTTTTTAGGATACTTAAGTCCACTCAACAAAAATCTAATGACAGAAAAGTCTGAACAAGCAAAAAGCTGCAAAAAAAACCCCAATTGTATTGAAATAAGTAAAAACTACAGAGAAGAGAAATCTATATGATCAATTTCTCAGCAGTTCAGTTTATTTGAATAGAATTAAAGGAAACTGAATGCAGAGTGAAATACCTGAGAGGCGTAGTTGTGTCCATCAGATCCACAAACAGGACTAGAGGAGGACACAGGGCAAGCCTTACAGTTACTCTCCTCCTGTCTTATGACCTGCTGCTTCAATCTATAACACATTGGTCAAAAAGAACATAAAATCAATATTAACATCATATCAATCATCACTATGAAATATAAACTTGAGCTTGGGTAGTTATCACTTTAAAGGGGCCATGACATGGATTTTTTTATTATTTAAATATGTTCCTTGAGGTTCACTTATAATGAACATTTTTTTGCACAAAAAAACCCCAAATATGCGGAAAACGTGATTTTCAACCCTCATTCTGACCCTTATCCGTTTTTAGGGAGCGTCAGTAAACGGCTAGTCTCGTGTAGCCAGACTGATGGCAGAAGGTCTGCAATCCACCCAGAGGCCGTCTGACTGACATGTAAAGCAACTAATCACAGTCTGTTTTGTTTCCCATCTTGTTTAGGGGCATGAAAATGTAACGTCGATGTCCCTATAAAAGACTTGTGTGTAAAATTATTAGATGTATTGAAGACTTCTGAAAATCCAGCATTTAGCTGATCCTGAATAGCGCTCATTGTCACTGTTGTAAACACAACAACGTTCTTCTTCCATGAGAGGGTTTGTTTCCAGGCGGACCGTTAAAGAATGCGACATGTCTCATCCTGATGTGTTACCAGTAAAGTGTGCCATATGCATCAGACGTTTATCCAGGGGTCCGTGGGCGTGACGTTATTGCATAGGAAACAGTATCAACGGGATACTGAAGTGTAGGCAAATGACAGCCGTTAAATGACTAAATGCCAGTAAGCCCCGCACCCCCTATGGTGTGATAATATATATAATTTGTTGATGTTAGTAACTATTCACTCTGAAGGCAGTCATATGCAAATGTACTTGCCATGACATCGCACATCCTGCAACAATATCAAAACGAGCTTGATTAATTAAACGCTTTGTTTATAATGAGGATGGTTTTTAAGCTATGAAACCTGCAGTATGTTTTAATGGCACAAAGACCACATACTGTATATGAAGAGTTCAGATGCAAAAGCCTCTAAATGCCATTTGAAATTTTCTTCTTTAATGATGATTTTTATCAAACTTGTATATTTAAGTTCAGTAATTTCACTTAAATAACAATTAATAGGTAATTATCATTGCCATTTAAGTGAAATTACTGAACTTAAATATACAAGTTTGATAAAAATCATCATTAAAGAAGAAAATTTCAAATGGCATTTAGAGGCTTTTGCATCTGAACTCTTCATATGTCAAAAGAACAAGGCAAATTACATTTTTCATATCACGACCCCTTTAACGCAGAGGGCACGTTTTTAATTTAAGGTTACAAGAATGTTATCTGTATTTAGATGTACGGAACAATGAAAACTAAACGCTAAGGAATGGCCTCATGAACATGTTTAGTTTGTAAACAGTGACTAAATCTGTATACATGTGCCATCAGACACACATAGCTGCTTTATTAAACTGCTATTATTTCACCTCCACCAGAATATGAATTTCTCCTCACAAGTGAGTGAACATATTTTTCAACAGTCACGGCTTCTTTATTAAATTGCTATTATTTGTCAAAATATGATTTTCTCCTAAAAAGTGAGTGGACATTATGTGGAAAAGCAAAAAAGTTAGTTTTTTTGCCACTTAAAAATGACCATTTTCAACCCTTTCTCCTTCTTTGCTGCTGTTCCTTTAAGACTTCTTTCTGAACAGCCATATTTGCTCATAAGCACTCAGTTCTGGTTGTTTTGAGCCAATCATTTGAACCCTAAAGGCTCAGAAATTTGATTCCTCATGATATGAAGTTCTGAGTAATGAAAAGCTGGACTGTACAGTTGCATTCTGCACAGTGCCTTAGTGTGGCATACCCTCAAAAAACAAACACTATTATGTATTATAGTTACAGTAATGTGCATAAAGAGAGAGTCCTGTATATTTGAAAGGCTCACCTGTGCTCCAGTTTTTTGCGGTTGACACACACGGCGCGCTGGTAGCCCTGGGCAACACACACCTTATGTCGGCTGCATTTCACCTTCTGGCAAGGATCTTTAGTGGTGTCCACATCTGCAAGGGCGAGAGATGTACCCCAATAATCTACTATATAGTCCAATCCTTCTTGACATTTTAATACTGCATTGTTTCAATGTTATTGAATTTATATATAGAATTGTTTCAATTATTAATTATATATTGAATTTCAATATTTAATAATTATTTAATTCACTTTTACTTATAAATCTAGTGTTTTAAAAAAAATATTTTACACATTTTATTAAATGCTGCCACCACAACCTGAAAATAAATAAGCAGCAGGAAAACAGATGATATAGATTATTTTTAAATGCTTATTTTCATTTCATTTTATTAATTTAATTTGCCATCTTCATCTCTATCGCAACTAAGAAAGCCTCTGCAATTTCACCATGAATCCTTCAAGCCCTTATTTACACACACCACAACAAGCATCCTTTGATTTATGATGGAAAATCTCACTACAGCAGCATTACCATAGACAGATAATGTTATTTTATGTTCTTCCGAAAACCATCATAATTACATCCTATTGCTACCATATCTCACCATATACTACACATAAAAACCCCGACTGCCTGAGAAACAATATTTCAAGACTGATAGATAATTGCAATCTATACACAACGGCACAAGGTTGATCAGTAAGCCTCACTTAATCACAAAAGGCTCAAGCAGATGATAATGTTGCTATAGCAACAGTCCAACTCCAAAGAGAGGGCTGATTAGCTGCTCATATCAGTAAAAAAACCAAAGAACTCTCTCTGTGTCTGCATTATCAACCCTCTCTTCGTCATTAAATATTTCTTATGAGCAGTGGCCCAGTGAGTTTGTCCCTTTAAAATATACTATGAAGGCCTCCGTGTGTATGCGATGCCAAATCCGGCTCAGAGAATCCAGTCACCGCCGCATCGTCTCTCTCATCTTTTGTTACACTGGGCTGCATTAAATGTGATCATTACAATCGCAGAGTAGAAGTAAGGAGCTACTGACTCAACAACACCAAGCCCAGCCAGTGCCTGAGCTAATGCAGCTAATATACATCAGCAGCCAGAGACACCTAACGCTGAGCATATCAGATCAACTCGCGAGGAGAGGTTCACGGAGATAAGGACGTGATACACGCTGTGAACACAGGAAAGGGAAAATGCAATCACGCTGATAAATAAAACACACACGCAGATTAAATAAAGACACCTCCATCTCTTTTTAATGAACTAGAGCTTTGTATCCACTCGATGGTCTATTCATTCACATACAGGATGACTCAACAGACTGCTGAGATGCTCTTTTCTAAGGTACACACACTGGGAACATGAACTGAACTAAAATAAAACATCTGCTTGTGATAAATATGTCCACATACTGGTAACACTTTGTTGACTTATTAATGCACATGCATTATACAGGATGTGTGCAGCTCGTATGAGATCATAACATTACAGTATATATCAGACACGGATGATTGCGGTAGATGTGCCGCAATCCAATGCGGCACATAATTGGTCACATGTGATGCTGTGAAAGTTTCACCTGGCTTGAGATAAAAATCAGGATGAAAATAGAATACCTAATCTAAGGTTAAAGATTTTGAGGTTGGTGTGATTTTTTTTTCTCTCAAGAAATGAACACCGTTATTTAGCAAGGATGCACTTAATTGGTCAAAAGTGACAGTGAAGACATTTATACTGTTGCAAAAGATTTCTATTTCAAATGTTGTTCTTTCAAACTTCTAGTTCATCAAAGAATTCTGAAAAAAAAGGTTTTCATAAACACTGTTTTCAAAATTGATAATAATAATAAATGTTTCTTGTGCAGCAAATCAGCATAATAGAATGATTTCTGAACGATCATGTGACACTGAAGAGTGAAGTAATGGTGCAGAAAATTCAGCTTTGAAAACATAATATTAGAGTTTAGTTTTGTGAGCATAAGAGACTTATTTCAAACCCTGGACTTTTGAATGGTAGTGCATGCGTGTGTAAAATATGGAAGCCTGTATCGACATTAGAGTAAAATAGAGTAGTTTTGATTATATACCTCCCAACTGTACTTGTTTACTCACAATGTGACTTGATATCAAACAATGACTTTATTTTTTATGCCACGAATTATTATTATTATGATTTTTTTTAACAAAAAAAGTAAAAAGACACAAGCAAACATCATAACAAGGTGTTTTGAGAAAAACAACAATCACAATAGATACATATCATAAATTTATCCTGGAATAGTGCTGTGTTGATAGCTTGTAAAATGCAAATTTGTTCCTCATTAAAAAAGGTAAAGACCACTGCCACCTTCAAATAAACCAGTGTAAATAAGGCTCTTTGGGAATTTCGGCTGCTTTGGTATCTGTTAGCTGTCTGCTGCCTGAAAATCGAAACATGGAGAGCAGATGCTCGTGAAATACCAGACTAAAAATGGCATTTTACAGGGCCAATTAAAACGCAAACGTAAAGTAAATAATTGTTACTATCCAAAATTTCTTCTACACTGCAGATTTATCTAATATAATTCCTGTTATTCCACAAAAAGGTTGGTCAGAAAAAAGATCTTTAAAATATTATAAATGGATTTCTTTTTACTTTTAAAATTCCTTCAAATTGCAATTTACAAAATACAAGTGATTGTGACACTTTAAGATGAGCGAGCCATTTTTTGTTTTTCTCTTTGAAAGAAAAGAGATCTGAATTGGACTGATGCATGCATTGGCTGCTTTTGCATTAAGGGCTGGGACAAATCTCTTTTGCCACTGTCTCATTAGTTATCTCATAAAGGAGAGTCTAGGAGACAAAATCGTTCAATGCGGCAAGATGAATAGGTTCTATTCAATCAATTAAAAGAAAAGATGATTATGAATGCATATACTTGTGTATAAGAAAAGTCTGTAAAAAGAGGTTAATAAGGAATTTTTCATTTTGATTTTTCACAGGTTTTGATTTAAAGGAGTAGTTCACTTTAAAAAAATTTGCTGATAATTTATTCACCCCCATGTCATCCAAGATGTCCATGTCTTTCTTTCTTCAGTCGAAAATAAATTAAGGTTTTTGATGAAAACATTCCAAGATTTTTCCCATATAATGCATTTTCCTGGGAACCAAACGGTTCAAGGTCCAAAAGACAGTTTCACTGCAAACTGTTCAAAGGGCTTTAAATGATTCCAGATGATGAATAAGAGTCTTATCAAGCGAAACGATAGTTCATTTAAAAAAAAAAAATCTTTTTCGAGTCAATTCGTTCATTTCGTTCGTTGAATGAACCAAATGACTCGAAAAAAATATTTGTTCATATTGATGAACGAGTTCGAACAGGAGAGTCACGAACGTGCATCACAGAACAGAGCAAGGTGAGCATTTGAGCTTATAAAACTTAACGTTTTTTATTTATTTATTAAATGACTGCTCATTTCACTTGATAAGACCCTTATTCATCGTCTGGAATCATTTAAAAACCTTTGAAGCTGCAATGAAATTGTCTTTTGGAGTGCATTTTATGGAGAAAAATCCTGGAATGTTTTCATCAAAAACCTTAATTCATTTTCGACTGAAGAAAGAATGACATGGATAGCATGGATGACATGGGGGTGAGTAAATTATCAGCAAAAGTTTTTTTTAAAAGTGAACTACTCCTTTAAGCATTGTGTTTTGTCTCTGTAAAAGTAATAGGATAATTAGTTCTTATTAATTAAATATTATTTAGAATTTTATATTGCTCTCTAACCTTTGACAAAAGGATCTGACAATAATTCCCAAATTGTCACAGAGAAAGAGTTCAATTAACGAGTTTCAAACAAAAGATGTGAAGTGGGTGTAGTGACGGCTTCACAAGTAGCTTTAGTGTCAACTCAAAAAATGGACCATCGGGTTCATGGACCTCTGTTCTTGGACATATGAAGCTTAAGTGGATTTGTGCTTTGAAGGAACAAAGCCAGTGTCAGTCAGTGCTAAATCAAGCCTCCGGGACTATTACTGGGTCTTCTGTGGAACTAGCAATTATCCATTAATTACATCCTGAGATATTTGCTAAAGGACATTCTAAGGACTTCGCTTCAACTAAAAAATAAAGACATAATGTTCAAAGGAGATGACCTCATCTCTTGTGTAAGCAATTAGTGTTTGGCAGCCGGGAAGAAAAGCATGGGGCTGTCTGCTGTGACAAACATACGCAAAGTATACAGTCAAGACTAACCGCACCATTGAATAATAATTACAATGGTTTCACGACAATGTTAGGGATTTGTTTTAAAACATGAAATATTACATATAAAAAACTGAATTATTTCAAACCAAAGAGCTAAAAATGCAGTCTGAAATCAAACTCAAGACAATTCGAGACAATTTAGATTTTTTCAAACAAAACAAATTTTAAATAAACTCGCAATTGCTGAAATTTGCTAAGTGTTCAAATCTAGTCAAAATCTAACAGCGATGACATCAATATAATATTTGCATATTGAATACTCTCTTACATATATTTGCATACTGAATTGTTGATTAGACTTAGATGCATGCAGAGCATCATGAAAACATACTTTATTTACACAGAAACAAAACATAAAACTAGCATTAATCCCTATGAATAAATGTTATGAATGCAAATCTAGTATGAACATTGAACCATAATGTAAAATTAAGCTCCACTTAATTAAAAATAAACTAGGCCATTGTTTGGCACGTCATGTGATGTGGGCACTCAAATTGAATGGCTAAAAGACTGCATCATAAAATGTAATAATGTGATGCTATTAGTAATATTAAATATGACTTACTTTCATTTGAGCCTTGATTTTCATCCCATGATCTGATGTAATCATCCTGACAGAAACAAAGAAATCAAACAGTCAAATGTGCTGCATAGAATAAACTTTGAGCCTTTTTTTATTCAAAAATAACAATTCTATCACTGTGTATCTATCATTAACTAAACTTAAACGTACAATACTAAGATGTTTTACTTGTGAAAAGCAGTGGAAAAGCACTAATGGAAAAAGGAGGGATGGAACAAGATTTAAAAAAAGGTGAAAGCTTGAATGAATTGTCAAGCAAAAATGCAAAAGCAACTTAGACTGCATAAAAAGTAGGTTACAGCTTTGATGGGGAATATTAGATTAAGCAATTTATAAGAGACATCAAACACAAGCAAAGTCATGATACAGCACTACTGACCTCCACTTCCTGGTGAAATGTGAGAAGGATGAATCAAAGACAAAAGAGAAAGAGACAGTTAGAGGAGAGCGATGCATCTCTAAGGAGCAACTATCAAGAAAAAAAGACTCCAACTGCTAAAAAAAACATTTATTTGCAGTGATATTCCATGATATCCCCACATGTGTCCTTTTAAAAGAGGCAGTTGCTTTAAGATAATTATACGCATGGTGCTCATAACACTTTCAACACACTGACTAATAATAATAACAACCTTTTTTGTAAAGTTCACAAGCTTGTCATCAGCAGTCATTTTTCTTTGCAGTTGTAGGTGTAACAGGAGGTTAAATGGCATATTGATTAAATTTGGCTTTGTCAGCTAAAACATCACAATAAATTCAACTTTTCTGTACTGTAGCAAATGTTCAAATGTCAAGTGGCAATACATACACTATATCACTTCTGAAGTGTAGACTAGACTATTAAAAAACTGCATTTTCATTAAACAGAAGTTACACAATTATTTAATAGGGTTTTTGATGAAATACATTATGGTTAAATCTATTTAATAATTTAAGTCTGTTTTGGCTGAATACTAGGCATAGGAAATACTGTGCGGTGTACTGAGACATTAGATGTCCATAATCAGTGAACATCTAATAAAAAGAGTGGTAAAACCAATTGAACATATTTTTTATCTTTAGTTTATGCAAATTGAAGGAACCACTCGTTCAAACACAACCCTAAATTCTTTAGAAGTGCACTTTTGAGAGAAGAGAGTGGAACACTCAGTGAGTGTGAAGTATGTGGAAAAGTCTCTGTCACATCAATGTGTTCCCCCTCGCTGAAAGGATGCAAGGATGAATTAGAGCAGAGAAATATTGCCACGGCTAACATAAATATTGCCACAGCATATCATCGTCATCTAATTTTATATGACCATCATCACAACACATCACCATCATCAAGATTTCTTAAAATCTTAAAAAACCTGAGAATTCTTCTAGCTTAAAGGGTAACTAAACCCTTGGTCAGAGCCTGACTCCACCCACTGGCAATATTTGAAAAATTTTGAAACAATAAGTAACAGTGACTCAATCGATGGTTTTGCGTTTGTGGCGAGGCTATCTGTCTCACTATCGAATGGAAGAAGAAGGGAAGAGTATACAGAGGGGGAAATTACATACTTTCCTTAACGAAGGACATGTTAATGTTAATATAATGAATCATTATATTAACAGCTCAAATGTCATCCAAAATTTGACCACATGTGGATGCGTAAACCCAACAATTTGCTGTCTTCGAAGACATCCACAGCACTTCTAGACTGGGAAGCAGTCCTCCACAGATGAGCCTCTCCTGTATCCGGAGTCAGCTCATCTTTGGCCTGCCTTGGCTGCCAGGACTATCCCTCAGAGGAACTTCTTCTCATCAAAAACACCACTGAACGCATCAACCCCTCCTGTGTTGACTGACAGCTCTTTTATTCCTCATATGTCTGAAATGCTATCGGGGATGTCTGAAAAAAGCTCTCTGTAAATTCATCTTTGATTTGGAGGCCCTGATAACACCTCTGCATGTTTGTATGACATACAAGCATTTGATTGGCACATGAGAAGAAGACAAAAAGTGATACACACGTGCGTGTGTGTGCGTGCGTGTTCAAGCAGCAGTTGGCGGATGAACTGGATCTGTCTTTCACTCATACTTGACAGTTACACGCCATAATATGCACTATTGTTGCAGCAGCTAAGAACACATTTGCGACAGAAACACGGCACAAAGGCATCAGGGAACATAATTCTAACGTATTTACCTTTCAATTAATTTTTTTCATATGATGTCAACCTTAAATGAACGCCCACCTGTCCGATTGTTATTTTAATTAGCTTTTACCAAGTACTATTACAGTGATGATGTTAAAAGATCGAATTCAGTATGCACCTTATTGATCATGCATTTAATATTATCCACAAGTGTTATCAAACAGCAAACCATTATAAAGAAAATGCGTAATTTATTAAAGCTGTAATTTATAAAGTCTTTGTCGCCATCTCAGTTCAAAATCTGCAATTGTAGTAATTGGCGGAATTATCAACTTTACATGAGTTGTACCTCGGCATGGCACAGCACAGAGATGAATCCAATGTTTTGAGGAGAATGTGCAGCTGTCAGTCACCGCACTGATGTGGATACTGTCATTCGCAACCACATGTTCCACTTTTTGGAAACTTTCTGTGTGGCCAACATAAGAATTTTCACCCTAAAATGTCATCTAAACAGCTAACATCAACTTTTGTTCTGACCAACTAACTGAAAAAAAGCATTGCAGTAAATCGCGCTGATTAAATCTAATGATCGATTATAATATCATGTCAAACCGTGCAAATTATACTTTGTTCTAAAATTGTTAATGTAAACAACATCAGCATTGCATGACTACATTTAAAGCCCTTCAGATACTTATCCTTGTTTCTTACAGCGGGTGAATCTGTTGTCACTGGGGATTTTCGTTTGAACCCTTCTGGATCCGCCATCAAATTAATAAGTTTAATTATATCAAGTGCTGTGAGAAAAGGATATAAATCTCCACCTCCAACATCCTAACACGCAATATAGTCTCCAAGCCGAGACTCTTCTTTATGTGTACAGATGTGACGTAATGACTCAATATAGTCTACTAGACAACTAGCAAGTTTAATGCGTATTTGACGTGCTGTCCGGGGGGGATAGTGATAATGAGGGATTTGACGTTTAATGTCGCTGCTGAGAATAGAGATGAAGATTGCAGAATAAAGGCTCGAATTTGGGTCTGTTCCTCACAATTGTACGGATTATAAAGATCTGGATTACTGTGCACAAATAAAATGTATTAGTTGTGTGAATTTATGTTACATTTTCGGTGCATTTTATGGTTCTGTTGTTAGTCATAGCATAGGACTATCCGGAGAAAATGTCTTTTGAGTCCCACGGCAAACAGAATAAATATTACATGATGTAATAATAAGTAATAAATTATACACTCAATGAGCTGAAGCACTACTGAACAACAATCTTCATCATGTGATTGAAAAAGTCATTCTGCTATATTTCATTTTAGGAGCCAGCCCTTGTCACTATTTTGCCAGGCAACCAGCTTTCAGCGTGTGACCTCTCACCTTGTTGTCTCTTTAATTTCATGTCATGCCTTGTAACCTTAAGGGGATTCAAGTTTGGCTGTCTCTATTTAGCCTTTTCTGTTTCCACCACGCATACTAGAGATTTGCTTTGACAAGTTTGGCATGCTCAAAATTACTCATTGTTGGAGGCTCACAGAAAAGCAGCCTTCCATAATTGATTAAAGCCGGATGGACCCTGGTGGTAATGACCTCACAATGTCCTCACACCCACATATTCATCATATCGTGTTGCTGGCAATCACGCAGGCTCCTTACGGTTCATAAACACCCCAGGCAGAGAATGAAGCTGAGGGCCCACACATCTATTCCTTTGACTCTGAATCTAATCGGTCATGTTCCACAAGCTAAAAAAATCAAGGCAAAAACAGATACTGTATTATATCGGAAGCTTCCAAACTATGTTTTCACTGTCACACCATGGCTATAGCTGACAGGCAAGTACAAGCCTCCCACTTGATTTATGCATAGGGCCTTTTCCGACTGGGCTTTTCAGATTAACCGCACACAGGAACATAGGAACATCAAAAGCTTCGCTAACAGCTCCCTCCTCCTCCTCCACCCCTCCTCCTTTGACTGTGAACATCCTTGCTTTCCACATTTCCAAAACTCTGGCCTGCCATTCTGTAAGGTTTGCTGTATCCTCCAGGAAAGAACTCCAAAGAGAGTGCTGATTTCTCAGTGAGAATGCCCTAAGAGTATTTGTCACTGACTCATGCATTTAAGTGAAAACATATAACTGAGGGTGAATGCTTCATGGTGACTTTTATTACAGCTGTCTTTTTTGAGACACATAAGAGGTTACCATGTGCACTTTGATGCACGAGACATTTAACAACTTGACTTTGTGACGCCTGACTCATTGTAAACAGATGAAGAGATCCATCTAGCACAAATGCCCAACAGATCTGCAGCACTGTAATACTCTATAATGGATAACACACAGATGGACAATGAGATCACATTATAATTTTAACAACTTCAGCAATTGAATTTACACATAATTTATCATGATAAATCATAGTTTGCCAACTTGTGCCCCAGGTTGGAACATGAAGTGCTCAAGTATTATACAACAGTTCAATAAACAAGAAGATAATATTGAGTAAAGTATGTAAAGTATTTGAGAAAATGTAATTAGCTTTGTATTGTAATTACTTTGACAACATTTTTAAATAAGTATATGTACTCTTTACTCAGATTTATATTGTAATGATTAATGCAATTGCTCATTACATTTTGCATGGGACCAAACTTTTTGTGCATCAGTTTATTTCTGCTACAAAAGCTGCAGATGGTGATGAGGCCGAAACCAGCATGTCCAGTGCAAGTAGGCTTTGACTATTTCAATTTAAATTTTTTTGAGCCCTTCAGCTTAATTTATTAAATAAAATAAAAAAGGGCGATAAATCAATTATTAAGCTTCAGCTTAATAATTGATTTATCGCCCTTTTAAATTTATTTTAGAAAATAAAGAATGCATATTTTAGCCTACATTCTGACTAAAATTAAGTACTGTTAAAATCAGATACTCAAACACTATAGGCCCTAAACACCTGGCGCAATGCGGCGGCAGACTTGACGCAAGTGTTGTTTGCTAGTTTCAGCCAAACATTCTTATAAAAAAGTTATCTTTTTCACATCCAACACATTTTTTAAACAGCAAATGCATTTGCACCTATTTGTGCGCATTGTTGGCGTGTTTATTTTTACTTTATCACCTATTTTGAGGCAACTGAAATACACTGCGCCATTGACAAAAAAAACCTGTCAATGGCACAGTATAATTTTTTGGCACAGTAGAGCTCAGCGTACATGACAAACTTCGACTTGACAGAGCTTGAACACATAGAATAACATTATAACTTTCAACACACTCAAATGCAGTTTTGTATGATAGTGTAGACCAAGTGAAACAGCGCTGCTTTACCTCACAATTTTACTTTGTTACATAAACTGACCAGTTTGAGTAGTAATTCAGCACTTGCAGGTAGTTCAGTAGAATAAAATGAATGTATTCAGTCATCCATAAACATTATTTCCCATAAACATTATTAGATCCATCGACAGTTCCATATATTCCACTTATTCACTGCGTCATCAATCTACGCCTTTGTTATTGTAAGAGGTTAGAACACCACTGATTATAATGGGTTTTATTGTCTTTTGTCACATCGCGCCGCTCACATCTGGTGTAGATATTTTACAAATCTTTAACCGGTGCAGACTTTTAAAAATGTGGTATTGGAATAGGTAACTTTAATTGAGTCATTTTTTTGCTGTAAGGCATCTCTACTTTTACTTAAGTATGGTTTTCAGGTACTCTACACTACTGGAGTAAAGGCAATGGTAGCTATTAAGATAATTACAACAACAACTATATTAGCGTTCACATCGATTCATGATTACATTATGTTTATTATATGCATACTCTTCAGTTATTTTGTCTGATGCATTAAAAGCTTAAGCTCCACAAAGCTGGGGGAATTCTGATTAGAACGATTATTAAAAATATTTAGTTATGGTGATCATCCTTGGTATGAATGGGCCTTTGCAAAATAGGGTGAATATAGTTATAAGTATCATCCTTGGTGTTCTATTGAGCTGAATGTATTTGTAGAACATCTAATTCCAGTCTTTGATTTTGAATGTCATCTTATGAGTGCATGGATGAACTCATAAGAAGTTGGTCTATATATTACTACTTTTGTAATGGCACTTGGAAAATCAAAATAGAGGACTGGAGCTGTTGTATTAAATTACATGTTTTAATAGTTTGAGGCAGAAATACTGTTTGGTAGTCAGACCAATAGCAGATAAACAGTGCAGAAATTATATAACACACATTAGAAGAAAATTTAGATTTTTCTCAATGCAAATTAGAGTGTCAAATTATCTCCAATCTGCCCAGAAAAACTGCTTCAGTCAGTAAAGTTCAATCTTCTGGCCTCTTCAGCGTCAATAACACTCCAACCGATTCTAAGGAACCAACTGACAGCTCTGAAAGTGAGGGAGAACAAAACAGCACAAGCAAGTGCTGCCTTTAAATGAGCAAACCGAGAAGCAGTCAATAAGGCTTCCTCTGCTTGAGAAAGGAAGAAATGCACTGTAAAAATGAAAATGCTATATCTAAGCAATACAATTGTGGCAACAGATTACAAGCAATATTATTAATTAAATTGAACAAATTAGAATTGAGTAATAATTAAAATTGCAATGCGTAAAAGATATGAAAAAATATATATTATGTTAAACTATAACCAACACCATGAGATAACCTTTTCTATTTGTTTATTTGACTGTTATAACTCCGGTATATCAGCCAAACAAAACTTAAACTGAATGACTTAAGGGTCAAGAGCCCAACTAAAACAAACATTGATCACCACAATGGTGACTTAAAATTATGTTTTTCTCCTTCAGTGATTCTGCTTTTTAACATCAGGTGTCTTCAATATTGGCAATATAAAATAAAGAGTTCTTCATTCATCTTTGACGTCTATCTGTTATTCAGATATTTTTGGTGTAAATTTTACTCATTTTAAATGGTTAACTTTTAAGGAATTAATTTGAATAGTTCTAATTTGTTAAATTTAATTAATAATATTGCTTGTAATCTGTTGTCACAATTTTATTATAAAACAATTTTTCACAATTTTTTTATAATATAGAGTATGCATTTTCACAGTGTGAAGGACTCAAATGCTGGGGGTTATAGGGGAATACAGGCAACATTACAGATGGAGGCAAAATTAATTTAAATGGGGTTTAAAACAAGTCACTTAAATTGGACATTTAAAAAACAACAACATTTCAAATAAATGCCACCTTTATCAATGATGAGCAGTCTTTTAGGAGGCAAAAACAACACTGTCATTGTTGTATTTGTAACTGGAAGCCCAGAACAAAAGCCTTTTAGAATTCTGTGGTTTTAGTAAGTCAGCTTGATCTTCAGAGAACACAGGGTACCCAAACTCCCAGGGGCAGCAGGAAACAGCCAAGAGAGTGACAGAAATGTAAGATAGCACTCGTTCCTTTGCACATATTGGAAGGAAAAGGACATCTTAAAAGAGCTATAAAACTCATTTCATGCATCAAACTGGACCAAATTAGCCGGGGTATATATGCCACTCACGGCACCTGCACTTTACAGATAAAAAATCTAATTCAGCAAGAAAGGCCCAGACCCCAGCAGCAGAATTATGAAAGGCCAGTTTCTCACCACTCAATGAAAGCCCACCTACACTCCTGGTCTATAGCCAAGACGCTCTGCTGCAATGCCCTCACTCGCTTTTCTCAACAGCCATTCTACCGCACTCAATTTCCCCTGTCTCACAAGCCTGCGACCCCCTCCTCGGACAATCCAGCCAGTTGAGTCTCAATTCGGGCTGAGAGTGACAAACAGATGTGCATAAACATGCATCGACTGAGTTCCAAAAAAAAAGCGTAATGTTTTGCATTTAAGAGCACTGAATGCTGATTTATCATGGCTGAGAGTTTAATGGGGTATTTGGGTGTATCATCTTAAACTGCATTATCTGTAATTATGGACCATATGCTATCTCTGGCAGTTGTGAGGACATTCCCAACACCAAGAGGAATCTTGATGGACTGGAGCTGTGATGGGCCTGCATCTCTGCAGATGCACATCCATTCGGCTAGTCACTCACTGACAATTTGACAGCCAAATATCGATGAATTTGCATGTTATTTTAAAGTACGTTCATCAGCGACAAACACAAACTTGCTTAGCGGTGCAAAACGAAGCCTTCGACAGGGTTCTGTCTAAAAAAGAAACTAATGAATTCAACATTTAATCCACAGAGAGAATTTCACAAATTAAGAAAAAGACACATCTAAAGCAATCGCCAAGAACCGGCTTCCTCCACCCACCTTGAATGAAAAAAGTGCACTCTAAATGAAATGGCAAAGAATGGTTATATGGAAAACCATTTTCAGTGTAGGCTTGGAACATTTTTCCTCATTAAAAATGTAGTGGTGGAATAACAGGTGCAAACAGACACGGTGTTCTGGAATGAGGGAAAGCACAGATTTTTAATGAGCTTCTT